TTATCTATTATATAACTATATAGGCCCATGAGAACATAACAAATGAGCACGGATTGTTACATGACCTGTACAAGCCTATAACAAAGAAGCTTAAAAAAAAAGTATTATAAATTCGATAATTAAGAATCACCTATTCTTCGTATTGTTAGTCCTATCAAAATGTGGCTTAGCAAACAGTTAGGGTTGGGGCACGGAAAATCCTCACATAGGGCACGACATAACACCCTAAAACATTATGTGAAAATAATTAGTAAACATCACATGATTTATCATCACGATCTCGATGATTTGAAATCACGCCCCATGCCCCAACCCTATACGTGATGGCATTAACAAATAACAAATAAATATGATGTGTTAAGTTGCTCAGGAGAGATTTCAAAAAATATTTTTTATCACAAAATTATTAATTTATAATAAATTAAAAAAAAACATTTGCCCGCATTCTAATTTACAGAACTACTCTATAGATGAATATTACCATAACGATAATACAAGCCTAATTTCTAGTTTTATCGTGAAAAATTAAAAAGTTATTCTGGCCTGAAATTAGTAAACAATTTGTAATGTGGGCCAGAATTTTGAAGATCCTCAGCGTTAGCCAATCAAAATCGAGGATCTACCAGTTTCTTGTAACACGAGATTTAATGGTCCCATAGGCAAATTTACTCATTGATTAGGGATCTTTAACTAATAGTTTTAAAGTTAATTTTTATTTATTTTAATTCTATATAATTTCACGATTAAAATAAAAAATTTTTTAAGAAAATTTGATTAAATAGATATTGAGATATTTTAATATTTCAAGCAGGTTTCAGGTACGACACTATCATGAATAAGCACCCCTTTTTTAAAAAATTTTTATCAAATTTAATTAGATATTTGTTGAGTTTAGAAAAAAAAAGAGGGTACTAATATAGTAATAGATTAGGTAAAAATCACGGGACTGTCAAATTTGATGACATAATATAATGACCAAAATCTTAAGCATTTAGTACAATATGTGTCTTTTTTGAATAATATTTTTTAATGTCATGGATTACATTTGAATTTTAATTTTTATTAATAAATTCAATAAATATAATATCAATTTATTCTATATTTTTTGTTGTTAATGCTAATTAGCATTAAATTATTTTTGATCATTAAATATAAGTAACAATAACAAAAAATTAAATACAGTACTACAATTAATTCAAAATTTTTCAATTAAGTTATTGTATGGTAAGAAGCCGGATATTTTGTATAAAATAGTTAATAATTTAATCGAACACCAATAACTTCAACTTCAACTTCGTCATTTAAAGTATTTTCAATATATTAATATCCATAAGCACGCGCATATGGGATGAACCAAAAAAATATAATATCAGATTGTTTGGAACATCTAATTTTTTGGCCTATCCACTTTTGCTGTGGGCTCACTTTATTGAGTAATGATGGTCCAAATTTAGCCCAAAATTCAAAATAATACCCCAGCGTGTTTTATTACATAAAATATATTAAATCCAATAAATTATTTAAAAGAAAGTAACTAATTTTAAAAATTCCTGATTATTACATAAATGTTAAAGTGATTATGCTTATTGCAATAATGAAACTGGTAATGAAGATATGCTTTTAAACTCTGTGAAGAAGTTACAAATAAAAAAAAAATAGAAGATTTAAAGAAAGAAGAGATTTTAATAAACTAGAACAACTCCTTAGGGTAAAAGATAAGTTCAAAAATGATTTTGAAATTTGAAAATATATTTAAAATGAATATAAAAGTTTATCTGAGATTGCAGATAAAAAAATTACAAAATACAATAATAGTCGTAGAAAGGCTAGGCAAAAAATTAATAATTTTAAAAAATATGAATTGTATTAAATTATTTATTGGTTTAAAAAGCATATTATTCGTGTTTTTAATTAATGATAGCAATTTTACTTAAAGTATATGATCTTAATACACCAATAAAAAAGTTTTGTTTTGAGATGTGTGCACTTATGACAGTGCATTTAGAGAGGCCTATAAAAAGTTATGTAATTAAATTTATTACGCATAAGATAAATTATAATATTAGTATCAAATTATTTTCAATAAAAAAAATTGAAAAATTTTTTATTGGATCATATTTACATTCTTCTATTAAAACAATGCTACGTAGTAGTTAAAGGCTTGGAAGGGTATTCATTTTGTTATAAAATTTTTTTGATATTCTCGTGATTTTTCACTTTAAGTGAATTACTATGACTATAAAATTATTAGGGTTCTTTAATTATCTTTTCTAATTCAGTTAGATCTTCTTTAATTTTTATTTTTTTTTTCAGATCAATTAGAAATTCAAAACTACAAATATTTAATTCACAACGATTTATTATTTTATATTTTTCAGATTTTATTTTTGCGAATTTGTTATTTTCACTTATTAAATCACTTAATATATTTTCTAACTTTTTATAATCATCATTTTTTTTCAAATTTTTAATTTGCGTATCTAGGTTTGTCTTTTCGGTCTTATATTTCATTTTTTCTATATTGCAAGATTTTGCTGCGACTTTAAAAACTTGTTTTAGATTAGAAGTAAGGGAATCTACTTCTGTTTCTACTTTTTTTAAATCCTCTACATATACAGCTTCATTTTTAATACATTTGTCATTTTCAATTGATGACACTCTCATTAATCTTGAATTTTCGTTATTATTTTTCATGTGAGTTTCTTTTTTTTTCCAATTAGCTTGTATCTCTTTCATTTTTTGGTTGATTTCCTCAGTCACCAATGATTCTATTGTTTTATCTTTAATCTGGTTCCCAATGTAGGTTTCCAACTCTATAAAATTTTTTGAGATAAATTTTTTCAGGTTCTTAGTGTGGATTATTATTTTTCCTATTCGATCTTTATTTTTTTCTTTGCCTAGTTTTAAACTTTCTTCAATTTTTTTATTTTGTGATTTATTTTTAACACTTGATATTAAGCATATTTGACTCTTTAACTTGAAAATTTCAGCTAGCAATTGTTCATTTGCTTGAATCAATGATATTAAGTTCTTTTGCAGTTCACAATTTTTTATCTTATTGACTTCTTCCTCTAGAAATGATATTAGGCCCATATAATTTAGTTTCGTTAATGAGTCCAAATTTGGTTTTTTTCTATAGGCTTCATTTAACATATCATTAATGTAGTTTTTTTTTGCTTTTAATATCTCTAGTTTTTCTTGAATGTCAGCCACATTTTCAGCTAATTTTTTCTTATGTGACTGTGCTTTTCTCATGAATTATATATTTTTTTAACTATGAAATGTTTTATATTTTCGACTCTATGAGTGAAGAAAACCTCCTGAAATTATATTTATATAAAAATTTATATGTTGCCACTCATTAATAATCCTAAATTTGAAATCTAAGGTAGTAATTTATTGCAAAAAATAGATTTAAAAAAAATTGATTGAATTTTTTATCAGATGTTGAATTGTTAAAAGATTTAATAAAAAAATTCACATTTTTGCAAAATCGTTCAACTTACAAATTAACAACTTTAATTGTTCAATTTAATCTTTGACAATATGTAACACAAGGTTACTAAAATATCTTACAATACTAAGCTCTTGTGAGTAAAAACCCTAATGTTTTATTTAAAAAATCAACCAAATTAAAAAAAAAAAGTATGATACATTACTTTATCTTTAGAGTAACGTCTCTCAGCTTGAAGTTGTCAGCTTAAAGGTTGACGGCAGCGGCTTATAAACGGCTCAGCTCTAGTTTAGAATCCAAAGGTCAGTTCGGCTTGATTAATGTTAGCCATGAGCCAGCCGTTTGCATTACTAGTTAGATCATATGATTATAGTGGGAGTACTATTTATTCCCTGGGACGTTGGGAATAAATAAGTTATTCTACGTTTATATAATGACATGACGGCGATTAGTGTTATAATCAATCACATATCACTGTAAAAATAAACGTAAATTGTATATAAACTATCAGAATCATTTATTACTTTTATAAACTTTCATAAATATATATTGAAACCTTAATATTTAACTGGTGTCGAAATTTGCATGTGAAATGAGATTCGTTAAGCATTCCAAAGAATCTTCCATCTAGTTCTAATCGTAGGATTTATTGACAAAAACGATCACTCACTTCTTGAGGTTGTTTCACAACATCGTAATGCTGCCGGAAATCATAACACGATAGACAGTTTCAATCACCGAATAATATCTCAAATTATTTGATCGTTATTAACTTAAAAAACCAAATAAGATAATTTACAGCATAGGGTAGGTGCCAGAATATTTTTTTTTTTATATTGAGTTAACTTTATTTTTAGCATATACCGTGAAT